AAGTGACATAATTACTTTGTGTTGGCGATAGACAGCAGGCAGTGCCCTACTGTCATCATAGGGTTTGGGTTAGGTTCAGGGTTAGGGTTTAGGTTGCTTCTTTGAGTTGTGCGAAGACGAGATGCGGCGACACTAACCGTAACCCTAACCCACACCGTAACCCTAAACCTAACCCAAACCCTAACCCAAACCCTAATCGTATGATCATAGCACACTGTCTATCGCCAACACACAGTAATTATGTCATTTGTTTTGTTTCCTCCTGTCCAGTCCGTAATTGCACTGCAGCCAGGGGACAGAACTCTGACTAACTGGCCGTCTACTGTTATCTACCGGCCGTAGTTGACAAGAGAGCACCCATTTCAAACAAGCGCTTTGTCTCAACATCTTTGAAATACAGTGCATTCCGTATGTCTGCCATATCCATGCTTTCTCCTCCACTAACTATTGCAGGCACAGCCATAAGTAACCTTATAATAGGGTTACTTAAGGACAACGCAAAACATAATCAGCAAAACTGAAAATGGCGACTCTAAGGGATGCAATCTATTGTTTGCTTGTGGTTACCATAAGGAACACAATCCATTGTTTGTTTACATTTACAGAATAATGTTCAGTAATATTTAATATTGCTTCAGATTAGAGTTTGGGTTAGAGTTAGTGCTAACCCTGATGTTGAACAATGTTGAATATTAAAGAATATTTGGCTATCCGCAGAATAACGGTCCCAAATTATTGAGGCCGAAAATATACCCTAACAGGGACTCATTCACATGTCAATTGCGGACTTCCGGTGACTTAAATTGCACACTTCCGGCGACTTCCGCCACCGCCGAAAGTATCTCCCACACTTCTACGAGCGGCGTGGGTTGGGGCTCAACTAGATGGCTAGGACTCACGAGCAGCAGCTACCGCATCTCCTGCAGCTTCCTTCATTTTATTTGCTAGTCAGTCCCAGCCATCTAGTTTAGTCCCAATCCACGCAGCGCGAAGTGTCGAGGGAGATACTCGTGGCGGTATAGTTCCCGGAAGGCAGCAATTGACATGTGACTAAGGCCCTGTTAGGGTATATTTTTGGCCTCTATAATTTGGGACCGTTATTCAGAGGATAGCCGAATATTTTTATGTGAACTTACACAAGCTATGGATTTCGTCACCTAGAATCTATATTTAAGGTATTCATAACTTACAGTTTATTGCATCCCTTAGGGTCAGTTTTTGTCAGTTTGCCAACATAACCTCAATCATCGGAAGTTGTCTGAAATATGACAAGTGCTTCTCCTGCTACAGACGCTCTGACAGCTTAAATAATTTTATAATTCTTGATTGGGGGGGAGGGGGGAGGGCTGAATAGAGCGGTTCACTTGCTTGATGGCCTGGTGGTCATTGGTTGAATTCAAGGTTGATCTTCAATATTGACCTAGACTGCCAGGTTAAACTAGTCTAAAATGGACATCAGGAAATGTCCTGGAAAGTAAAACAACACTGATGTAGTCAACTGAGCGTTGATTAATCTACATAGTGTTTGACTACCGCTGTATGCCTCATGCAGTGGACATGGAAGCTGTATTTACTTGTCTGTAGATTTAAATTCCAGTGTATCCTGTTTGATCCAAGCCACGGGCAGACCACAATGCATTAATTTAATCTGGGGTATCAAGAACTGAATGTTAAGAATGCAGTGACAAACGACTGAACATAAAATTGCCCCAACTTCCTGTGTGGGTTCAGGGCCACCATTGTGAGAACAAGAATAGACCTACTGTTACCCCAACAAACATGTCGAAGGAGTCAACTAATTGGGGGCTTCCTTTTAAGTCTGAGTACATGTGCCTGAGAGTCAAGGAACCAAGAGACTGCATACAAATAAGCCAGATCTGTGAAATGGATGTGCATGCAACACTCAAGTTCTGGACAAGAATCAAGTCAGGAGGTTGATGAACACCTAGAACTTTCTGCTGGAGTTTGCAGCTGGTGAAAGCAAAGAAGAAGAAGAACTTGCCTGAACATAGAACTATATTAGACACTAATGCTGGGGTTGGTTCTGTAACGTCCTGTAAAGTATAGGCAGCTATCTTTAATTTTAATTACTTGAAAGTGAAAGCATCGGCAGTGTAGTGGCTAGGATTTTGCCTGCTGACCGGAAAGTCTCTGGTTCGAATCTACATCCGAATTGCCTTTTATCCTGTCCAGGATAAATGTTCCTTGACTGGCAGTTTACTCCAGCTTAAAATTGAAGTAATGGCAGCTGGGGTGATGATAACCACATCACTCACCAAGTGCTTATTGGTCTATAAAAAAAAACCAATGCAGCACTGGGGTAATTCATGCCCACGTTTAACATGAACCCACTTAAGAAGAACACTTGTTTAACATAACATAATTCTGGCCCACGTGCCTTAAAAATGGTGAGTGGCCTGTTGGCACAGAATTGGTAAGCAGCTACTGATCTGTGTAACTGCTGCTTCCATCTAGTGTTGGACTGTTTGTGTTGCTTCTGCTTTAATATGTGTGTATGCTATAAGATCTGTTGAGACTGCAGTCTGTTTCAGTGTTTCTACCGGGACAGTGATGGACTCTGTGTGGTTTTCGTTGGCACAGGAATAGAGCAACTATGGGGTAACCCATTTGCTATGAAGTTGGAAGTGTGGTTACTTGATTACCTGATTATGTTAGTATAGTGACTGAAATTTTGACTACATTCAGCTGTAGTTTTTGTTGTAAGCAAATATCTAAGTCTTACTTCAGTCTTGGACTTCCCGTGTGGGTTCCGGGGCCACATTATAGGAAAAACATGAATAGACACACTGCCCCCCCCCCCCCCAATCATGTTGTAGGAGTTGAATAATTGGGAGCTTCCTATTAAGTCAAAAGGTATCTGCCCAAGCAGTAAGGAACAACCAGTTACACACAAATAAGCAAGTCATATTGATGCATACGCAAAATTCAGGTCCTGTCACAAAGCCAAATGGTTGAACAAAACTTTCCGCTGGAGCTTACAGCTGGTGAACAAGAAAGAAGTCTTAGATGAGACAGTGGTGCTGCACAGCTTTCATGATTAACTTTTTGTTTTCTCACACACAGTCATCCGCGCTGGAGCCTATGCAAGTGGATATTGTTGAAGAGAACCAGAATGTGGAAGAAGAACAACATTACCTTGTGGAAAATGCCTCAATAGTAAGTTTTGGCTCAAAGCATTCTTTCTTAATATCGTTCTTCTTCCTCCTTCTCTTTTTTCTTTTGTTTTTCTTTTTGTTTTCCTCCTTTCGTCTGTTAATGGAGCTGTTGTCCCTTAGCTGTTGTCCACTCATGCCTAACTCGTTATTGTGTTTAGTGTTTGGTCTGCAGCTCAATAAAAAAATGCGGTAGCCATTCTTACACCAACCCTCCTTATTGCCTTATATGACATGCATAGGAAGTGACAGCATGACTGGTCTTTACTTCTCTGAACACTCTCAGTCCCAAACAACTTGATGTGTGTTTCCGCATTTATTTTAAAGATGGTATAATTTACCAGCTGTTTTCTGTCATAGAAGAATGTTATACTCACTTTACGAAGTCCGGCCCAACTGCACACTATTGGACTTTTAATTCATACTTGCTCAGGCTAGTCTATTTGACAGGGGTGTCATGTCCTGTGCTATAACCAGCGATTGACGCAATGTCTAGAACTGGCCCTAACCCCAGAGCCTCAGCCTATGTCCGGTGGGAGAGTGCAGTATACGACCAATGAAAGCAATGCTTTTCTTCTTGTCGCTTGTCAATGCTGACAGCAAAAGGAAATTTTTGTTGTACTTCAAGTCCGAAACAGCTATAATATATGACGCTGCTTCTCACAACAGCGAGTGAAAACGCAATGTCGCTGACACTGGTATGAATAATAAATACTGAATGAGATATACAAAATCTGTCTCTCACTTATTATCTCAAGGACACAAATTAGAAAGTCCCTTGAGAACATTGTACATGTTCAAAATCCCTTGCACAGTTGAAACTGGTAACACATGTCCTTTATAAGCCACTTCTTCTATTCTCTAGACCATGTTCTGCCTTCCAACATGGGGATCTTAAAGAGACATCTAGTGTGAGTCTTCATGTGTGTTATGTAGATGCTGGTATTAAATATATTCCATCTATCCATCACTTTGTGTGAGTGACCTGCAGTATCTGTGGTAGTCTTTTAACACAGGTCAGAACCATTTGATCTGTTGTCTTTTGATATACTACTAGGCCTTGAAAAGTCATCTATCCCACACTTGCATGTGTGACCTCTAGTTCTGCTTCAGTTGTGTCCGACAGCTCTCTGTAGTCCATTATCTTTATAATAGTCTTGTCAAATGTCCGAACTATGTGATACATGACTCTTGATGTAGTACTACGCAGATGCTGGTATTCAAGGCCTAGAATATTTATCTATTCATCACTTGCACTAGGTGACTTCTAGCTCTGCTTCCATTGTGTCCAGTTGACAGAGCATTCTGAAGTCCAGTATCTTGACACGTGTCTGAACTATGTGATATGTTGTCTCTTGATATAGTTTAGCACTGGTTCTGTCCTGACTTGTTTCCTGATATCATAATTTCTCTTCCTGATCCTGGGCCCCATTTTTCAGAAATTAAAAAAGAATAAGCCCCCCCCCCCCCCATCCCCCCTCCTCCTTCACCCCTGTGTGTTTTATCTAGTACCCCCCACCCCAGTCACAATTTCTCAGTGTGCATACTATTCAGTACACATACCTTGCCCAACATCAGATTTTCTCACTGTGTTCTATCCCATACTAAGGCCCCCCCCCCCCCTTTCCTTTTCACTTCGATTAAAAAAAAAACAATTGTCTTACTTTGTGCTGTACAATCTCCCCCCCCCCCCACACACACACACACACGCACACAACACACACACGCTGTATTTGCTGGAAGTTGTCTTCTGTTGTAAAATGTAGGAATGTGTATTGAATTGAATTGATCAGTTGTGCATCTTGTCACTGACTTCTTTCTACTCAGGACTTAGACCATTATGCAACGCAGTACACAGGTCTGGCCAGACTGAACCGACTGCTGTTCATAGCTGAACACTGCAATTCCCTGAAGATAGAAGCTCTGAGGATGGCCTTGAACTACACTATGAAGACAACGTACAATACGAGCCTTTACCAGCTGATCCATCATAAACTTGTGGCCGCGACTTCAAAGTATGATTTTTAAAATTTTGTCAGTTCCAAAGTTGTTGGTCTTAGATAGATGATTTCTGCGCGTGGGTTCCGGGGCCCTATTTTGGGGGTAGTAAAGGATAGACTTACTGCTCCTTAACAAGCATGTCATAAATGCCGCTAATTAGGGTTTTTCATCAGAGTGCATCTGCCCAAGGAGTCAGCTGTCTGCATACAAAAAAAAAAAAACCTGGATCTGAAAAATGGATTTGCGTGCAACATTAAGGTTCTGGAACAAGACCAAAGTCCAGAAGTGGACAAACAACCAGAACTTTCCCCTTGAGTTAGCTGGTTAATGCTAAGAAAAAGATAGGTGAGTGCAATACTGGCTTCTGAGTGAAATAGAAAGTCAGCGCCACTTTTAATACTAGTAATGCATTAGGCATACTACGCTCGACTTATAATTGTATAGACCAGTCGGCCCTCAGTAAGCGATATGGTCAACTTCACACCAGTTGCATTAACGTCCCAGAAAATTTTATGCTATTTTAGACTGGGTCAACATGGGAGCCAAAGTTAATTGTAGAGAAATTCACCTGGTTTTGTTTTAAACCCAAGACCTTTAGGACTGCAAACATGCATCTAGCCACTGTGTTACCGAGGCTTACCTATTCTGTTAAGCAGCTACATTCTTCGTGGCATTCTCAGGCGGAAAGTTCTGGTTGTTTGCCTACTCCTGGACTTTGGTCCTGATTCAGAAGTGGTTATTGATGCATGCAGATCTGCTCTACAGTTCTGACTTATTTGTATTACTGTTGGTTCTATGCCTCTCGGGCTGATGAATTCCGAATTTGAAGGAAACGCCCCTAGTTAGTTACCTCCCATGACATGCTGGTTAGGAAGCAATAGGTCTATTCTTTGTTCTTAAAAATGCCGATCAGGAACCCACACAAGAAAAACTGCCATAAAAAAATGAATATGATATGAGCACTACTTCTTTACCTGTAAAGGCAAATGCATTCCCTTAGAAGTAACGTCTATTAGAATGTGAAGTGGTTGGCCTTTATATATTCTGGCCTGTGAAATGTCAGGTGAGTGGTTGGTTCCTTTTTTTTTTGTAACCATAAAATTATGAAAATAATATTATACTCATTTTTATGAGGAGGGGTAGACTTCCGGAGACAGACACAAAAAAATCTGGGGTTTTCTGTTGATTGAACCTATACCACTGTCTTAGAAGGCAATAGTACTAACAACTTTAGTCCCTCATTATGCCCATAACTAAATTGTTTTTAATTTCAGAAGGCATGCCTCTTTTTATTCCTCTTCTTGGATCCTTCTGTCAGAAAAATCATATCTGCTGGCCAGTAATCTTGATGAAGGCATGCTGAATACTTAGAGTTAATCTGCATATTCTATGTGAGTTTTTCTTTTAAATTGCAGTGCTAGAACAGGATCCAATAATAGCACCAACAACCTGCCTGATATAGCCCCAGTGAATGCAGTGGACACTCAGTGGGTGGAGGTCACTTCCAAAAAGGCTGCCCTCAAGTTGGAGAAGCTGGACACAGATTTAAAAAACTACAAGAGTAACAGCATAAAAGAAAGCATTAGGTTAGTGAACAAGTTGTTGTTCCCATTGCGATTTATCAGTGGCTTCCAGTTGCCCTTTTAAACTGATGTTTGAGATTTGATGCTGAGATTGTCCTGACTGAGATTTGATGCTGAGATTGTCCTGACTGAGATTTGATGCTTATATTCTCTGTCTTGTGATTCAGTACTTAAAATTCACTGTCTTAAAATTTGAAACTTAGACTGCCGTGTCTGAGATTTATTGCTTAGATTGCCCTGTTTGAGATTTATTGCTTAGATTGCCCTGTTTGAGATTTATTGCTTACACTGCCTTGTTTGAGATTTATTGCTTAGATTGCTCTCTTTGAGATTTATTGCTTAGATTGCCCTGTTTGAGATTTATTGCTTAGATTGCCCTGTTTGAGATTTATTGCTTAGATTGCCCCGTTTGAGATTTATATCTTTAATTGCCCTGTTTTAGATTTATTGCTTAGATTGCCCTGTTTGAGATTTATTGTTTAAATTGTCCTGTTTGAGATTTATTGCTTAGATTGCCCCGTCTGAAATTTATTGCTTAGATTGCCCTGTTTGAGATTTATTGCTTAGATTGCCCTGTTTGAGATTCATTTCTTAGATTGCCCTGTCTGAAATTTATTGCTTAGATTGTCGTGTCAATTTGATGCTTAGATTGTCCTGAATAGGATTAAATGCTCATTGCTGAGATAAGCCGGTCTGAGATCGGGTACCAAGATTTCCCTTTCAGAAATGATGCCTGTGACGTGATACTTACACTACAACACTACCTTTTCGTAGGCCTTGTCTTCATGTGTCTCCAGCCTCAAGGGGCCCTATCTTAATGTACTGTAAGGCAACAGGTTTGTGTCTGTTAGAGGTAAAATAAATAAGAAAAGACTAGCCTATGCCATGTAAGGACTTTTTCAGCTGTGACCTTTAGCTTTAGCCCTTGTCAGAGTCCTTTCTCACAATACAGTAGTTATAATTGTTTACGAAAACTCTTTATTTGCGATCTTGTTTGGCCAAAATATTTGTAAGATTCTTTTTAGACATTTGTTTTCAAAAGTCTCTTATTTGTGTGCAATTCCCGATCTCATTTTCCAACACTCAGTGTACTTTTGTTTACAAAATGATAAAGAATGAGAAATCTTGTCTTATTTTTGTCGGTCTTCTAAATGCATATTTGTTGTCGGCATGTAACAAATTTTTAGTATAATGTATGTAATCTTTTGCCGTAACAGATGTGGCAGAAATGTACTAGGAATTAATGGGTTTATCATTTACATTGACAGGTGCGGCCATTAAATATTGTGGGAGTAATCCCTGTGTGGATTCTAGAGCCTCACTTTGGCTGGAAAAAGCCTCACTTTGGACACTGCTCCCTAAGCAGCATGTTGTAAAAGGCAGCTGATTATGGTTTTACTGAAATCACTTGTTCCCTATAGGTTTCCGGGTCCCCATTTTGGGAAGGGAGAATAACCCTCCACCACCCACACACACATGACACACACACACCCCACCCCCACCACCATCACCACAAGCATGTTGTAAAGGTAAACTAATTAGGGGTGTTTCCTTCGAAGCTGGAGTCAATTTACCTGAAAATCGAGGAACTGCATACGAATAAGCCAGATCTGTAAGGATGAGACGTCTGAGAAGAAACAGACCAAGCACAAATGTCGACAACAGTCCTGAAAACCATGCTATAATTGTGGAAGACTTTTGTTGACTCTGACGGGTCTTGCTAGTCCCATCGCCACGGGCTGGGAGTTCCATGCCTCCTCATAGCACAATATAACACATTCGTCTGGGTAGACTGAAAGGTGCCAGTCACCGTGAGCGGATCGGACTAATGTTTTTTTGTTTAACATTTGCAGACGTGGCCATGATGACCTCGGAGACCACTACCTGGACTGTGGTGACCTAAGCAATGCGCTCAAGTGCTACTCCAGGGCCAGAGACTATTGCACTAGCCCCAAGCATGTTATCAATATGTGTCTCAATGTTATTAAAGTGAGTCGAGACTTTTGCTACGGTAAGGTATATGTCTGAAAGACAGTTAAGTTCTAAGAAGAATTATGTGGAAATGGTGGAGATGTAGATTTATAGAAGAATGGTGAGAACACCCTAGAAAGATAAGAAAAAAAATAGTAATAGTCATTGGGAGTTGCTGTGGTGTAGTGGGTAGATGCTTGCCTGCAGATCAGAAGGTTGTGGGTTCGTTTCCTGGCGGAGCCAAACTTTTAAAAAAAATGACCTTGGCTCCTAGGTCAACCCAGCCTTGAGTGGGTACCAGGTGCAGTCCTGGGAAGTAAAGGCGTCCGGCGTGATGTTGACCACGTCAACCATCTTGTGCAGTTGGTCTATAAAATATAGGTCCTAGCCCTATATACTCAATATGCCTGAAAGGCGTGGAAAAGGTTTCTTTACTTTTACTTTTAGTAACAGTCGTTAAAAGTTAGCTGTGACTTGGGGATCAATAAATTTGTTCCGCAGACCCTCGAACCACCAAAAGGGAAAGACTGCTCTACAATATTTTTCTTCTTCTTTCTATTGCCTGCTGCCTACCCCATATCCTTCACTCTCTAGCTGCTGACTCTCTGTGTTTTTGGTGTGCTTCTGTGGGTTTCATTGCAAAGACATCTAGTTATCTTTTTAGGTTATCTCAAATGTGTGTCCTGTCCAACACCATCATCACCTCCTGATTCACTGGAATATGTTTAGTTTTCTCCCAAAGCTCCACATTAGTGCTTCTATCATACCAATGAATACCCTCTGTTCGGCACAGATGCTGGTTACAGAATGTCTGTAGTTTATTAGCAGTTGGTAATTTTAGGTTTTTGTGAATTAATTTATGGTTTCTTCACACTGCATGTTATTGACAGGTTGACTGTCTCATCTTTATCCCCTCCTTCTCTGTGTGTTCTTTGTCTTCTTTTAGTCTTCTGCTTATTCACTGCAACTCAGCTGACAATGATAGCAACATAATATAAAAACAATTAGAGGTTTGGATAATATTACCTGGTGAGGGAGGTCCCAGTCGCTTCTTATGTAGCTCTACAACCAGGCCATGTTGTTACTCATAGTAGTGTAATATTGGTATAGATTTAAATTGTTTCTCCTGCAGGTGAGTGTCTACCTTCAAAATTGGTCACATGTACAGAGTTATGTCAACAAAGCAGAGGCAACGCCAGACAGCTCGGATGTAAGCCAAGTGTATATGTTTGTGTCATGAAATGTGTGTCAGTGTAGAGCTGCCGGTTACTGCTTCTTCTTCTTGACTTCTTATTCACTTAGTCCCAGCATTAATAAAGCAGAGGCAATGCCAGAGAGCTAAGATGTAAGCCAGGTGTTCATATCTGTTACATGAAGATTTTGTGGTGTAATGCTGAACGTTACTGACAGGTTGTCTGTGTCATCTTTATCCTTTCCTTCTCTTTCTGTTTCATTGTCTTCTTCTAGTCTTCTGCTTATTCACCGCAACTCAGCTGACATTGATAGCAACCCATCAGAGGGTGTGCCAATGTATAAAATAAATAGAACACAAAAACACACAAAAATACAGATGTTCTGAAGAGACTGGGAATGAAAATGCAGTTGCTGGAGGGAATTTAAACAAAATAAAGTGAAAGAGTCAGTCTCATTAACAGACATAAAAAGTTAATTGCGTATCCTTTACAGGACATTGCAGAACCAACCCCAGCATTTTTTGGCTGTTGTGGTTTTTTTAAAGGCAAATTTACATCCAGTAGTTTGCCATTGCTATTTGGACGGTTTGGCTTCTCGATACCACTATCGAAACCAATGCAAGACACAGGGCCCGCAGCTGGGATCGAGCCCAGCATCACGAAGCACTTTAGCAACGCCTAAGCCACAAACGCTGACAACAGAGAGAACACCTATAAAAACAATGCTGGCTGGAGAGAAAAGTTGAAGGCAAGTAATGTGGTGGGGCTGGATAATGACAGTAGACGAGTAGCAGTCAGAGTGGACCCCTAGACAAGAGATAGAGCTGGTTGGAGAGCCAGTGGAGCCAACATTTTTATTGAGGAGACAGCTTCTGATTGTTGATTGATACAACTTCACCTACTGTAGGTTCTTTTCTTTTTTTTTTCTGCTTTGATTGATACAACGTCACCTACTGTATGTTCTTTTTGTTGTTGTTGTTGTTGCTTTGATTGATAAAACTTCACCTACTGTATGTTCTTTTTTCTGATTTGATTGATACAACTTCACCTGCTGTATGCTCTTTTTTCTGATTTGATTGATACAACTTCACCTACTGTGTGTTCTTTTTTATTGGTTTTTTTTTGTTGCTTTGATTGATACATCTTCACCTACTGTATGTTCTTTTTTTTATGTCATTGATAAAACTTCACCTACTGGTTTTTTTCCCTGCTTTAAGCTGGGATTTGTGGATAATTTTCACTTCATCTATGCTTCAAAAATGCATCTAGTTGATACCAATGTCTGTCTCAATGAAATAAACTTACTTTGTTTTGATCAGCTGAAAGCCTGAATATCATAGTTTGCACTTACCTGCTGAGTTAATGAAATGAATCATTTCCAAAGGGATCATAGTGTGATTGTTTTCTTTTTCTTCTTGTTCTTCTGAGTGACGTAAATATGTTGTGTCTGTTTACTGTAAATGGTTGCCATATTTGCACCTTAGGTCAACACATCCTGCTTCTTCACACATTTGTTTTCCAGGTTAGGCTTCCTGGTTAGTTTTACAGCCTTATTTGTGTGGTGAATTCTTCATCTCTTGATCCACAGGTGTTGTCCCTAGAGGACCCGTTGAGGGCAGCCACATGCAGACTGTTCGGCCTTCAGGGGAAGGCGGGGACAGGACATGGGCATTCCTTGCAATCCAAGAAGGCTTCCATTTGTGCAGAGCCAGAACATGGTGCTCTAGTATTAGGCTCACCCAAGGAATCATCATGTCCTGCTCATGACTGCTTAACCTCACATCTAATATTGAGCCTTCCGCTCATTACAGGTCACACATTTTAGAGATCCCCAGCTTTGATTACCTAAACAAAATGGGCTTCTTGCATTCCTAGGCATGTTAGACTTCTCTCTTAGCCAGTATGGTAGTGGACCTTTAAATCTTTTGTCATCGAGTAGGATCCTTGAGCAAAAGACATCTAAACATTGACTTTTATTTAGTGGGGCACTCTAACGACAGAAATTTGAACCTAAGTAGCCATTTATTAGGACTTGGTCCATAAACTTTTGAAGTAAGGTTAGGATCGCTGCCTTATAAATTTACATTGCATGTGCGAGCTTCAAGATTCTTCTTGGACTGTTTTTTCACTAGGTTTTTAAATGGGACAGTGAAGAACATTTTGTTGAGATCTCCACTGGCATAGGAAGTCTTAGTCTCAGTTTTAGTCAAGGTTTCAACATCACCGCAATCAGGTTTCCCCCATACTTGCTCCATTCCTGTGCCTTTGCGAATCAAGTGAAATGTCCCTCATTGTTGCAATTGAAAAAAATAACAACTGGTGAACAAACAACTAGTCCCGGAACAGTCCAGAAATATGTGCATGCAGTAAATGCTTCTTTCAGTTGCTAGAGATGCCAAAGCTAACAATCTTCACCAGAAATGCAGTTTGTCGTTGATGTAAGTAGCTTTCCATTATTTTTTAGAGAGACAAAGCCATGTAGTAACAAATCAGTTGCAATGAAGTCAGTCCTCTCACCTTAAAATCTTGTAAACTTATGCTTTTCAGACTAAAGAGGCAAATCAGAGCATCTCCAGTCGGCTCAAGTGTGCAGCAGGGCTGGCTGATTTGGCCACAAGGAAATACAAATCTGCTGCAAAGTATTTTCTTCAAGTCAACTTTGATTATTGTGATTTCCCAGAGGTCAGTCAAGTATATTCTTCTTCTTTTTCTCCTCTTCCTCCTCCTCATCCTCCTCCCCCTCCTCTTCTTTTTCTTCTTCTTCTTCTTCATTTTTTGTCTCACCAGTACCAAGTTGTAGCCCAGTGTCATGATTTTCTGTATTTGTCTTGCCCTTTTGGGGCAGCTGGGTTTGGTGGTGGATTTGTTTATCTTTTTGCAGGTTTCTGCGACACCATTAATCCATCTCTTTCTGGGTCTTCCCTTCGCCTTCCTCCCAAATATTCTGCTATAAAAAATAACCAGTTTGATTATTTGATCTGGCTGCATTCTCGCTAGATGGCTGAACCATTTAATTCTTTGTCTGTCATTATGATTCAGACAATCTTATTCCACATTTCTCTCTAATGCTGGTATTTGTTTGCACATCCTTTTTTTTTTTTTTACTGATCTGGTTTATTTGTAAGCAGACTGTTGGTTTATCACCTCTAAGGCAGATGCACTGTGTTTCAAGGAAACTCCCCTAATTAATAGGCTTTTACTCTATTCTTATCATTGGGGCAGTGGGTCTATTCCCCCCCCCCCCCCCCCCCCCCAATAGGTCCCCGGAACCCACACGGGGAAGCCAGTTTTTTTAAATAACTTTTGTTTTGTCTATTTATAAAGAGCGGTGGCATTGGTTGCTTGTATCTGTGCACATCTTTTCGTTTACCTTCGTCGAGCTTTCTGCATGTTGTGTTTGGTTACTAACTTATGTTTGTACTATTTGAAAACAGTGCTTCTCAAGCCATGTAGTATTGACCAATGGTGCTGTGTAACAGAGTAGCACTCGCGGCTGATAGATTTAAGTCAAGGATTTGGGGGAAAAAAATGTATTTTCTGAAAATATGTTTGAAAACCTTTTCTGTTTATTTAAACAAAACAAAAACACAAAATAATTTAAATCACAGTTTAGCTGTTGTATTTTGTGTGATTTGGAATATTTAGTCATAACGTAATAAACATCATTCTTCTGTTAAATAAGTTAATTACAAAAAGGTTTGATCTCCTGGATATTTTGGAGGTCAGCTCGTTACTGATTTTGTTATATCTGACAATTTTGAAAAGAAAGTTTGATGAAATAATTTCACCAACAACAGCGCACTTACCAGTCAGTTCTTTAGGCCTTGAAGTATTTATAATGTCACTGTTGAAACTGCCGATTACTCCTTTATATACTTCTGCTGTGAAAGGGGGGGGGGGGGTTTGATCCTGAGGATTTAAGGCAGTGTGGCTAGTGCTGTTGCCACGACTATGCAGGTGAGGATTTTATTTTACCCCGACTATGCAGGTGAGGATTTTATTTTGCCCCCGGCAGAGAAAAATCCCCAGCCTTACTGAGGATTCGAACCCGGGTCTCCCGCATAAGAGCCCAGCGTTCTAACTATTCGGCCAGCTGCTCGTCACTGGTGAAAACCTATATTTATATAATTTTAACCACAAGATATTATATCTACTTTCATTTCAGCTTCTATCACCGTCTAATGTAGCAACTTATGGTGCACTCTGTGCTTTAGCAACGTTTGACCGCAGGGAGCTTCAGGTTAATGTGATATCTAGCAGGTAATATATTTGTACTTGTGGTTGTACCTTTTATTGATTAGAGTCAGGGAAAACTTTAAAAAAAGAAAAGTAAATTTCTCTAGTTTCTCAAGCCAATACATGTGTACTTTTATTGCCATTGCATCTTCAATGTCTTATATCCACCTTCAGCCTCTGCCTTGTTTTCCAGAAAGTGTACCTTTTATCACCATTTTCTTTCCCACTGTGGCATTCAACATGTCTAAAACAACTCAGCTTGCTGGGCAAGATGCTGTTTATGAGCCAGTTCTCCTCAATTTTCAGATCATGTAGGATGCCGATGTTTTATAAATGGAGCTAACTGAAAATGAGTTATGTACATGTTGTCTATAAGAAAGAGACAAACACTGTTCTTTGGCCACAGAATGAGAAGAGAGACATTGGAGAACATCGTGACAACTGGAAAGATCAGTGGAAAAAAGGGTTAGAGGCAGACCAAGAGAGATGATGCTGGATGGGCTGAAATGATGGCATGGAGGGATATCATCAAGAGAGCTGTTCCAGGCAACCAGAGATCGTGATCTGTGTAGACGTATGAGCACCTACGCCAGTTGGCAGGGCATGATGATGATGACATGTTGTCTAAGAGATAAACATGGCTGATCACAAAGATAAGAAAGAGGCAATCATCATTCTTTGACCTTCCTGTTTGGGCTCCGGGTCCCCATTGCAAGGGGAAAAAGAAAAGACCCACTGCCATTCTAACAAGTGTGTCATAAAATAAGACTGATTAGGGTGTTTCCTTTGAAGTTGGAGTGCATCTGCCTGAGAGATGAGTAACCAACAGTCTGCTCTGTTGAAAAAAATATATGTAAAGCAGATGTGCACTCAAATAGTTTTGGAACAATACTAGCATAAACAAACTCAAACAAACATCAATTTTTAGACTTTGGACAGGACACTGTGGTCTTTGAGATTACCTGCACAGGTTAGGCATAAAAGAATCAGCTGCCTATGATTGTGGAGCAGAAAGACATACCCCTGGGCGCATACTGCAGTATTGCCCTAACTTCTCGCAGCAAAGACTGGATCTGGCCCAAGGGAGCCACACTGCAAGAGAAGCTATGGGGGACCAGTGGCGACCTTAAACGACCTTATTTGTGACCCAGACGGGACTTATTGTTTAGCATGACTGATGTTGAACGCAGAAGAAGAAGAAAGGAGCAAGACTGGTCCAGATGTGCATGAACAACCAGAACCTTCTGCCAGAGTTTACAGCCGGTGAACGCGAAGAAGAGGAAGATGTACATCAGTTTCCTCAAGTATTAAGTTGAGCCAGGCAATGTGTATGTCTGGACACTGACTTCCACAGTGAGGCAAGACTTGAATACTGAAACTTGATTGTTTTCTATTCTTGCCCAGTTCATTCAAGCAGTTCTTGGAGTTAGAGCCGCAGCTTAGAGATATAATGAGCAAATTCTATGAGTCCAAGTATGCATCCTGTTTAACTCTTCTGGCAGACATCAAGGTATCTTGAATTTCTTTATGTTTTGTCTGTGTCAGAAAACTTCAAAAGCACTTGAGTTTTTTGGTCGATATTGAATATGTTAAAATTATAGATGTTGCTTTATAATTCTCAGTGTAGGTTCCGGGGCTCGAAGTTGGAGTGCATCTGCCTGAGAGGCAGTGTACGAACAGTCTGCATACAAATAAGACAGATCTGAATAATAAATGCACATGCAAAGCTCTGGAAGTTCTGGAACAGGATTAAAGTCCTGGAGTTTTAAGAACAACTAGAACTTTCTGCCGGAGTTTACAGCGTGTTACTTTGTGATTGACTAAGAACGCATAAATGTTGATTTGTTACTTCTGTGATCTCCTCCACCTGAGAACACATAAGTGTTAATTTGTTATTTGTAACTTCTGTGATCTCCTCTGCCCGAGAACACATTAGTATTAAATTGTGATCTCCACCACCTGAGAACACATAAGGGTTAAATTTTGTAACTTCTGTGATCTCCTCCGCCTCAGCACACGTTATTTTGCTTTTCTTTGGGTTTCTAGGACCCCTATTTTGGTGGGAAAAGAATAGACCAGCTGCCCCATATTAAAACATGATTAAGAATTTCTGAACTTGGGTATGTTTGGCAGAATGACACAGATATTGCAGCCTAACTGTAAACCACATACTGACACCCCCTTTAAAAAAAAAAAGCCGGTACAAAAGAAGAAGAAGAAATTGTTTTATTACTTGGCAACTGTCTCAGAATAGATAATTATTATTTTGTTATTTCAGTGTGATGATTTTTTCCTGCCTTACCATATGTGAATTCTGTTTGCTAGAATGTGTACAATTTTATGTCGGTTTCTGATCGAAAGCAAGCACCTTGATATAAATAATTGATGTCTTCATGTTCTCAATGCAGGATAACTTATTACTGGACATGTATTTAGCATCCCATGTGAATACACTATACACACAGATCAGGAACAGAGCATTGTGCCAGGTAAGGCATTTAAAAAAACAAATAAATACTAAATCTTTTAAGTTTATGTATACATCGATCTTTCACGGCACCCGCTGCACGAAATAAAATCAAGAAGAGAAAAATCTGTAATGGGTCAGGTGGAGGACATTATTTAGCAGGTATATTAACTTGGGGGACATAGAACCAGGTGAGGAGTGGGTACAGGTGCCAACAAGTGCCAGACCTATGTACTTTCATTGCTAATGCATTTTCAGTGTCTAGGTGAGGAGTGGGTACAGGTGCCAACAAGTGCCAGACCTATGTACTTGCATTGCTAATGCATCTTCATTGTCTAGGTGAGGAGTGGGTACAAGTGCCAGCAGGGGGCTGCATGACTTTGTTTTCTGTTTTCGTCCAAATAGAAAATTCAGATGATGAAATCCAGCTGCTGTATAGGCAGAAGTGCAGACTTGATTTCTGAGAACTCCATAGAGGGTGACATCATAATCATCACCATGTAGCAGGTCCTTTGCAGAACGTGGCTCTCATCACGGTCTGCCTGAAAGAAACTCAGTCTCTCGCCAGCTCTCCCACCTCATGTACTTTCATGCTCAAGGAGTCACTTACATGCTGTGCCCATCTTCGCGTTGGTTGACCCCTGCCCCTCCTTCCTGGTACCATGCCTTCTGCTAAAAAATTTTCCAAATCCATTGTGGTGCTTGATATGACCAAAATATTTCAGCTTCCGAGACAGGATGCTGTTTATTAGCCAATCTTCCTTCTAGAGGGGGACACTGTCATTAATATAGATGGGTCTGTGGTTTGCCACGTGAGAAGCTTGTGAGCTTTTACGGCTAATGTTGGAAGATGCATGTATTGTATTTACATTCAGCTCTATGTTGAGATGGGATACATGGGAGTTCCTAGCAAAAGGGAATGGATGTTGATTAGTGCAACAAAGCCATATTATACCACATCTGATTAAAGAATGGAAGTGGATTCCTTCTCTGCAGCCTTCCTTTGTCTTGAGAACCAGTTATAAACACATGTCATAATTGTAATTGACTCACAGGGTAATGTTAGAAAGGTGGAGACACGTATGCTTCATGTGGAGTGGCAAGCATCGTTTCAGAGGTCCTGGGTAGTTTATGTTCTTTGGATTTGTTTCTACAGGTTATGCCAGTGTATTAAGAAACGAACAGGCAGTTAGACTGTTAGGTTTTCCACCACTTGTGGTGAATTGATGCATTGCAAGCTAGATCTTGTTGAAGGCCTATGGGAGCAAGTGAACAGTGCAGAGGCACAGATAGATCATCATGGTCTAGGTTTAGTTTTTTGATGATGAATCAACATCATGGCACAAGGGTAGTAACCCATCAGTGCTCCATTCTACTTCAGACTCAAGACTGAGTCCGAGGTACCACAGTGCAGTGCACCGGTAAGGATCCTGAAATACTTTGGATAGATTTTTAACTCCAAATTTTTCCCGAGCAGAGCCGTTAGGCTGCTATTTTTTTTTATTTCCAACTGCCAAGGGATTTTTTTTATTTGCACAACAATACACACGGGCATCCGATCTTACTACCCAGAGACCAGGGAAAATTACCAGAAGTGCACGTAAAAAAAATCCCAGCCTTCACCGGGGCTTGAAAGCGGGACCTTTAGCACTCAAGGTTGACGCCATGCCTCAAGACCACACAACCCCCCCCCCCCTCCCCATGGTCTAAGGAGAATGGGGCTGCGGGGAGTGACCAGGGGATCTGCCAACCCTAACTGCTGGCACCTTTTTGCCCAGCACATCCGGTTTCAGCAGATCATTAATTAGTCATCCTTTTACAACATGCTTGTTGATGGGCAGTAGGTCTATTCCTCTTACTACCACCAGATATCACAGCCTAGCTGTAAACTGCAATAAAACATACCAGCTGCCCTTTTAACCGCAAACACAGAAGAATTTGAAGAAAATAACTAATAATCAAAGATCCCAGAGAAGGTAAACTAACATTGAAGGTAGGTAGGTAGGTAGGTAGTTGTACCCCACCAGAACATCAAACAAGCCATAAACACCTGGTGACACAAAGTGCCACCATGCGGATGAGGATCACCCCAGCTATATTCAGGGCCCCTGGCAGAAGTCAGGGTAGGGCATCAAGTAACACAAAAATTGCATCCCACATGATGATGACTTTGATCAACTAACATTGAAGTGTTTCTTGCAGTATTTCAGCCCTTACTTGTCTGCTGACATGAGAAAGATGGCGGAGGCTTTCAACACAACAGTGAGTGCTCTGGAGGATGAACTGATGCAGCTGATCCTGGATGGACAAATCAAAGCTCGCATTGACTCGCACAATAAGGTACTTATAGGCATTCTTTCAACTGACTCATAGATTTGTTGCCAGCATCTGTGTACGATTATGTATCCAGCAAATGTGGATTGTGAAGAGGAAAGAAATATCTTTCTTATTCTTCTTCTTCTTAACGTTTACCGGCTGTAAAAATTCTGGTTGTTCATCCACTTCTTGTCTGGTCTTGTTCCAGAACTTGTGTGTACAGTTACAAGACAATGGACTGGTTATTTAAATTTTAAAACTAAACTTTTAAGGTTTTCATTTGAAGATGCATCATAGAGTGCATTGCTAATTGTCTTTATACTCTGTTCCTTTGTTTTATTACTTTTTTTTTTTTTTTTTCAAATTGAATTCCTGAACAGATTTTGTATGCTAAAGATGTTGATCAAAGAAGCATGACTTTTGAGAAAGCCATCTTGATGGGGAAGGAGTACCAGAGGAGAACAAAGGTACTTGTCTTTATAGAAATATATATGAAATAGTAACAAAGGTAATTGTCTTAAAGCATGTATACATGAGATAATAACAAAGGTACTGTCTTTATAGCATATATAAATGAGATAATAACAAAGATACTTGTCTTTATAACATGTATAAATTAGATAATAATAAAGGAACTTTTCTTTATAGCATATACAACTACTGCAAGATAGTTGCTCTTTCTCCAGGGTGTCATTGTGACCAAGTGATCAGTCTGTCTCACATTCTGAAGGTCATTATTATAATTTTTTTTTTAGTTCTCAATCTTTGTTGTTTGGTTTTGGTTCAGTTTTTGTCGGAGAGTCCTGAGGATAGTTTCTGGAGCTATGAAGTTTGTGTTTTGTGTGACACTCATAAGAGACCAGCCACTCTGTGAAAAGAGACCAAGAGATGTTGAAATAAGATCCAGTGCATTTAAGTCACTCTTTAAACCTTATGCTGTCTTGTCATGATTGTCTTTAGGGATTGCACAAATGGTCAATGATTCTGTTTCTTAATTTCCACAAGATGCATTTTTTCAAAATGTTTACATCACCTTTTGGTTTCTGGGCTCCATTGCAGAGGGAAAGAGAATAAACCCACAGTGCCTCCCACCCCCACAAGCGTGTCATAAAAGTAGACTAGAGGAGTTTCCTTCAAAGTCAAGTGCATCTGCCTGAGAGGGAAGGAACTAACAGTATGCAAACATATAAGCCAGATTTGTAAAATTGATGTGCATCAGAACTCAAGTTCTGAATCAAGGCTAAAGTCCAGAAGTTAACGACAACCAGAACTTTCTAACATAATTTATAGGTGATGAACCAGGGGAGAAGACAAATACTGTTTACAGTGGGGAGATCCCAGGTCTGGCCAGTTAGCATTCCAGTGGAAACCAGGCTGTGTGGATCAGTGGAGGACTTTCTGTGGAGGAATTACACATTTAACTGTGTGCCGTGTCAGGTTTCATAGATGATCAGGTATCACAGGTAGTGAGCATACTTTGGAACTTATCTCCAGGCTATGCCGGCATAGTGGGTAATGAACAGGCAGACAGATTAGCTGGATCTGCACTATTGGGTGGTGAATTAATACATGACAAGGCAGATGTGGTCAAGGCCCTTTGGAAACAAGCAACGGAATCAGTAGAGAAAGAAGATTATTATGGCCTGGAGAGAATGAGGCTCCTGGGTGTAACCAGACAACTCACTACACTCAGAGGAAAGGCAAGACGGACATATAACCAGATTGTGACTGGTACCATCAGTTTTGGAACTTTGCACTGGCTGCTGAAGATGGGGACGGAGCGCACATGGGAATGCCCTGAATGCTGTGGTGTAAATTCTTGACTCAACTCATGTATCTCCACAATATCTGTCTTCTGTGCTTTTAATGACTGCTATTTATCTTCTGCATAATGACTTCTACAGTTAATGGTAACTTAAAAAAATATTTAAAACCGTAGAGAATGTCTTCTGCGATTAATTGTGATGTAATGTTTATAACTCTGAATAATACAAAGAATGTCATATATTGTTTTCACCATTGATGGTTGGTTGATCATAACATTATCTGTGTCTTGTGTTTTGTAGGCACTCATTCTCAGGTCTGCAGTTATAAAATGCCAGATTCATGTTAAGGTAAGTACCCGTGATTCCATTCATGATCTTAAATTAATCAAGTGCCATCTCCGTAAAGAAGTTTAACTGCTGTTGATCATCACAATCTGTCAGTAAATCCTTTACAGAACGTTGCCTGTGTCCCAGCACACCTGAAAATCCTCTCCTTTTTCTAGCTGATTCTCCAGGCTTGTGTGCTTTCCTAGCCATCACATCTCCAGTGCCTTGTAGCTACATTCACAAAGGTCTCTCTCTGCCTCATTTTCCTAGGTGATCTCTGACACCTTTTCTAGTGTTGTGGTGCATGGTCTGTAACACACACCCCCCCCCCCCAATCCCATTTGAATGAGACTCCATTTTTGAGGAGATAAAGAATAGACCCATTTCACCTTAACAAATGTGTCATAAAAGGCGACATTAAGCATTATAGATTTCACAGCCTAGCTGTAAACCACAAAGTGCCACCTGTCCTTTACAGGGCAAACACTGAAGAAGTTGTTTGTAAATTTTTTAATGTTATCAGTGTATATCTTTTAATGTTATCAGTGTTATCTATAATTTGTTATTCCTGCTTTTCTTTAAGATACATTCTTTTGTTCTGTTGGTTTTTGTAAGAGTTTGAATAGTTACTAATAAACTCTTTCTGTTCCAAGCAATGCCTAGTTGTTAGTGACTCGACCTCTTAATTTCACTCCAAAGCATAGTGTGCTTTCTTACTTGTTATATTTGGTCAGAACCTACTAAAGAAATCTGGCTTACCTAAATGGTGACCACCACCTGTATATTGTCACTTTGAATGTAATTAATTTTTGTTCTTCACTTCACCTATCTTGCAATTAATCTTCTGGTACCAAAAGAGTTAAGATCAAATCTTCAGGTCATTATGGAAAAGCATTTAAGTTTCATTCCATATCTTTATAGCTTAATCAGAGCATGCTAAAAAAATCAACTGTGATAGCTTAGCAGTTAGACACTGGCCCGTTGACTCAAAATCTTGGTGTTCGAATCCACGTCAACTCTAGTTTTTGTCTCTAAAAAATGTCTATGGCTCCCAGATCGACAGTCTAAAATGGGTATGAAATAAAGACCTGGGAAGTAAAAGTGGTCTGCGTGAAACTGACGACATCACCAATCGAATGCCGATTGGTGTATAATTATATAGATCTAGCATCATATGCCAGATATCGTCTGTGGGTTCCGGAGCTACATGGTAAGAGAAAACAATAATAGACCCACTTCTCCTTCTCTTCTTCTCTTTGACCATTTACTTCATCGAGGTGTGGGGGGGGGGGGGATATGTAAGGATCGTTTGTTTGCTTTTCCCAATGCATTGTACAAGTTGGTGTTCATTTCTTTTAGGTTGCTCCTGAGATGTTGCTCCCTCTCTTGCGTGGTCTTCCCTTACTCTTTGTTCGTTATATTTCTTCAGGTGGCTCTCTGTGGCCACTGGTACCAGGGCATTCTCGTCAGGTGGCCAAACCATCTCATTTGTTGTTCTTTAATGAATTGTATGACTGGTTTCAGTCCTAGTCAGCTTCTAATTTCTTCATTCTTGATGTAATCTCTTCTTGTCACACCGGCAACTTTCCTAAGACCCACTGCCTACCCAAAATCATTTGTGGGCTCTGGGGCTGTATTGTGGAGAAAACAATAATAGACTCACTGCCTCGCCAACAAGCATGTTGTAATAGTCGACTAACTGGAGGTGTTCCTCAAAATGAGAGTGCATCGGCCTGAGAGGCAGCAATCTGCATAAAAATGAGTCACATTTGTAAAATGAATGTACAGGCAACACTCATGTTCTGGAACAGGACTAGAGCCCAGAAGTGGACAAACAACCAGAAATTTCCGCCGGAGTTTACAGCTGGTGAATGTGAAGAAGAAAATATGCTAGATGCAAGGTTCCTGTGCTTACTTTACTTCACACTAAACAATTTGATCACGTTTTTATTTTATATAAGATGGTATGTTCTTGGCCCGACATCCTTCGTGATTTGAGCATCGAGGAGAATTGGCTTATAAACAGCATCCTGATCCGAAAGCTGAGGTATTATGGGCCATGTTAAATGTCATGGTGACCTGTAGAGAATGGGGATGGAAGGTAGTTTCGGGAAAGCGGTGCAAAGGCAGACCTCTGCGAAGGTGGATACAAGACATTGGAGATACATTGACTGTGACAGCACACAAGGCTGGAGAATTGGTTACAGAAAGAGAGACTTTAAAGTATGTGGTGATGATAGTGTTGCTCTGTAAAGGACCTTCTGATTGATGATGAATGCATATTTGGCCCCTGCGAAAGGCCGATTCTTGTGGTTTTGCTGTTGCTCTGGCAGCTCCTTGACATCCTGGGATGAAAGGGGTTAAACTAGCAAAGTCAGTATCTCTGCAGTATGAGATGATTCAAGAGAATCTTCTTCTTCCTCCTTGTCCTCTTCCTCTTCTTCTTCTTTCTCCTCCTCCTCCTCTTCTTCATCTTTGTCTTCATCTCCTTCTTCTTAGTATTCACTCTCTGTAAACTCTGGTTATTTGTCCACTTCTGGACTTTAATCGAGTTTTGCATGCGCATCCATTTAATAGATATGGCTTATTTGTAATCCAGGCGGTTGGTTCCTCGCCTGTCCGGCAGTTGCACTCCAGTTTCGAAGGAAACACCCATTTTTTACAACATGCTTTTTAGGAAGCAGTGTCTCTATTCTTTTCTCTCCAAAATGGTTCTCCGCAACCCCCAAGTGGAGAAGAAAGTATTGAAGGGTCATGATTGCTATAGACTGGACCAGGCATCTGAGTTAGTAGAATCTGAGAAGTAGGCAGGTAATTGAGGAGTAACCTGCAAGTTCTGTATGACTTATGACAGAACAACATGAAAATGATGCATGAAGAAGTGGACGTTGAATTCAGAAGTACAAATGTTACTTTGTACCCTGCCAGGTGGCGTAGATGATGATCATGTACCTTCACAAATATCTGGCCACCGTGGGGTTTTTTAATCACTGCTAATAATCTTTCATGCCATTCTGCCAATTGATCCAGCATTTCTACTTATGTTGATTAGTTTTTCTAACACCTTTATTTTTTCTAGTTGAGTTTATAAAAATACCACCAGAAAAAGTTGCTTATATTACATGCTCATGCACGTACATACTTACGTGCATGCACACACACACACACAGTGTCTATGAGTGTGATATCAAAGCAATATTTTCTAAACAAAATTTACCATATCGTATCTGATCAGGTTCATAACTACTAAGGTGCATAATGAAATTTTTTCCCCCGACTGAAATACACGGCTCATATTGTCAGGGTACACTGTACATCTGTCTGCTGGCAATTGAAGATTATTTACCTAGTGATTACTATGGCAATTCCAAATTTATATCACATGTTCTTTTTTGTTTACACAAAGTGAGGGAGTGCATTTTGATAGTTACTAGTTTCAGTAAATGTCTTTTCATTGTGTGTGATTTTTAACTGTGAAAGCACAATAATCAATTATTTGCCTGGAGTTAAACAAATGATGTCCTATTGAAGAATTCGGTTTTCTCCTTTTCGTTCGATCTTAACACATGATCTCAATTCAGTTATTTGTGGAGCCATCTAGGGAAGTATTCTGCTACTCTGTTTCCAATTTGTCTTTCCAATCCGAAGAGTGTAGATTAACTAGTGCTTACATGTAGATTGATAGATGCAATTGGATTTGGTGTAGGAGACACCGGTTCTTTAAAAGGCAGTGTTAAATTGTAATGTTTCAACAAAGAAGATACAAAGAACAGATAGCACAGTTGATTGCCCAGCATATTTTTCTCTATCTCTGCAAGTGCATACTACAGAATTAAATGAGCTGAAACAAAGGATTGAATCCTTTCACAGAAATACAAACACACTTAAATATAACCATGCTACCCCCCCTTCTTTCTTTTTAAAAACACACTCTTTTATGTACCTGATAAGGTTATTTGCGTATCCTTTACAGGACGTTGCAGAACCAACCCCGAACAGCCCCTGGCTGTGTGTGGTTTTTCTAGGCAAATTTACGTCCAGTAGTTTGTCATTGCTTTCTGGACGGTCGGCTTTCTTGATACCACTGTCAAAACCAATGCAAAGCACATAACCTGCAGCTGGGATCGAACCCAGCATCCCGGAATTGCGAACCGTTCGCATCGACTTAGCCACAAAAGCCGACTATACCTGATAAGATACAATGAAATATGCAAGGCAGTAAATTATGCAGTTTGTGTTTTGTTTGTGCACAGGTGCCACATTGTCGGTGCATGGCATTGATTTTTTTGGCATTAAAATGTCAGTTTACCCATGTTTTTTTCTTCTCCAGAGCCCGCCCCGTGAAGGCCTGCAGGGAGGAGAGATGTCCATAGCCCCAGCTGGCGCCAGCTCGGTGGTCAGAAACTGACCACGTGACCTGGCCATAATAACTTAGGTTTTATGCTATCAGGGTTTGAGTCTGTGCATGTGTCTTTGTGAGAACAACCGAGTCTAGATCACTGGTTGTAAATACAGTGGTGTACGACTGTTCCTCTCCTCCAGGTATGCCTTCATTAGCAGGATAGGTTGCAGCAATATGAGGCTTATTTTGTTCATTTAAAAAAAAAATTTTGTTGATTTTCATTTCCAATGTTTTTGTCCCCCCCTCAAGGACTGCTTATTTCAAGCCAGTATATTATTGTAAATTCTGGTGTGTATGTACATGATTTTTAGAACCTAAAATCATCTTTCGGAAACTAAAGGTCAACTTGTATGACGAGTATCAGATGGGTTACATAGGTTTTGCCTAACTCAGAATTTGGAGCTAAAAGTTTTGAGGTCGACTTGTACGCCAAGTCCACTAGTATGCCAGGTTGACTTGTACACCAGGTCAGTTTGTACGCCGGGTCAATTTGTACGCCAGGTGGACTTGTACACCAGGTCAATTTTTGCACCAGATTGACTTGTACACCAGGTTGACTTGTATACCAGGTTGACTTGTACACCAGGTTGGTCAATCTGTACATCAGGTCAGTTCGTATACCAGGTTGACTTGTACACCAGGTCGACTTGAACACCAGGTTGGTCAGTCTGTACATCAGGTCAGTTCGAACACCAGGTTGACTTGTACACCAGGTTACTTGCACACCAGGTTGACTTGTACACCAGGTTGACTTGTATACCAGATTAGTCAATCTGTACATCTGGTCAGTTCGTACACCATGTTGGCTTGTACACCAGGTCGACTTGTACACAGGTAGACTTGTACACCAGGTTGACTTGTATACCAGGTCACTTGCACACCAGGTTGACTTGTACATCAGGTTGACTTGTACACCAGGTTGACTTGTACACCAGGTTGACTTGTATACCAGGTTGGTCAATCTGAACATCAGGTCAGTTCATACACCAGGTATATTTGTACACCACCAACTTTTATGATATATTTGAATTGGGTGTGTCTGTATTGCCAGTTCATGTGCTCGGAAAGAATGTGATACGCCGGTTGTGGATGATGTCATAAACTAAGGCCGATGTGTGTGTTTTTGTGTGTGTACATTTGTTATGGCTGCCCTGGCTACTTACTTGAACTTGGAGTCATCAGTTAAAATTAATGTAATTCTTTGAGTGAGTGAGGATTTTCAATTCTAGTAAACTTTTGTTAACTGTTTTGCTTTTGTTTTTGGTTTGTTTATCCCACCTATGTTTGAAGTTTCTCAAAGTCAGTGATTACATGCAAACCATTTCGAGGAGAGACTGACAACTGTTCAGAGAATTAAAGAGACATGCTACCCCCTGAAAAGTGGCAGGTTTTGGGCATTTATATGGCTGCTTCCTTCATTGACTTTAAATCGTCTTCTGCCCCCTTCCAGGTTGGAGACTGCTGCTGCAGGCCAAGCAGTACTCAGTGGCTGATGTGGTCTTCATCACCTCTGCCAGCTGAACTTGCCACGCCCACTTTATACTGAATTGACATGGGGGAGGGGGGTGCAGCTGCCATTTCTACTGGTATTTACCAATTGGGGGGGGGGGGGGATCGGAGTCTTGGAGCCTAAGGACTTAGGGCTGCATGGCTAGTGCTGTCGCCACGGACTATGCAGGTAGGAATTCCCCAAACCCCTCCCAATGGCAGGATAAAATCCCCAGCAATCACTGAGGATTCCAACCTGGTCTCCAGCGTTAGAACCAAGCATTCTGACCGTTCGGCCAGCTGCTCCAAGGTCAGTTTTTAAGAAAAGAAATTTGACCCTGTGAGGATTTTAACCCAAAACTTGTGGGCTGGCAGGCAGGCAAGTGTCTAGCTGCTATATCACTATGGTTGTTTTTGTTCCAGTGAGGATAACTAAAGTCATTGTACTGTGCAAATAACTGAGTGCCAGCTTAGTATTTAAATAAAATTTTTTTGTTTTCATTAGTTTGACTGTTGGTCTGCAGCCAGTATTGGTTTGTAACACCTCAGTGAAATAGTCATAATTCATTTGAAATTACCAAGCTTTAAAGGTTAAAGTCGAGAGAATCGACTTCATTGCACCGGGTTTGATCACATATGGTTTGGTCTTTCTCAGCAGAACGGCTAGCCGTCTGCTGAGAGCGCTGCACAGAGCTCAAACTCCACAGCTCAGGCGACCATCCCCAGAGATCTCTGTAAAAAATTTCACTCTTGAACTGAAGGGCGCAGCCACAGAGACCCCCCCAGTTACCAAACCTGATATCCCACAGTGTGCCAGTTGGCTTCAGGCAGCAGTTAGAAAGGTGCTGGCTTTATCCTAGGGAGAGGAAAGGCAACCTGAAAACCTAATGTTGTGGCAGTACAGACCAGGTCCTTTACCTTGGCTGGCGGCTGGTCTAGTAGGGCACTAAAAGGTTAGTTGCATATCCTTTGCAGGACGTTGCAGAACCAACCCCAACAACCACTGGCTGTTGTGTGGTTTTTCTAGGCAAATTTACGTCCAGTAGTTTGCCATTGCTTTTTGGGCTGTCGGCTTTCTTGATACCACTGTCGAAACCTACGCAAGGCGCATGACCCGCAGCTGGGATCGAACCCGGCATCCCGACATTACGAAGCGTTCGCATCGACTTAGCCACAGAGCCGACAGTAGGGCACTATAGGCTGGTTTATTGCCCACGTCTGGTATGGTCATCACCCAGTACCAGGAAAATAAATATATTATTTCTGTTCTGTAGAATGTTTATATAAGAAAGAGACAAACTGTTCTTTAGCCACATAATGAGAAGAGAGACATTGGAGAACATTGTGACAACTGGAAAGATCAGTGGGAAAAGGGGTAGAGGCAGACCAAGGGAGATGATGCTGGATGGGCTGAAACGATGGCATGGGGGGATATCAAGAGAACTGTTCCAGGAAACCAGAGATCGTGATATGCCTACGCCTGTTGGCAGGGCACATGATGATGATGATGAGAATGTTTATATACAAGAGGCTTTGCACCTGGTGGAAGAGCCAAGGAGTTTAGCTGGCACACGTGCGCTTGTTGGTTCGAAGTTCCTAGGTTTGAATCTGCATCATGGACCACTTTATATCTCAGGTCTATCCAGCCCAGCCTAAGTTATGGCCTGGGAAATAAAGGCGCCCGGTTTGATGCTGACCACATCACCCACTGAGTGCTGATTTTATATATAGCACTAGGAAATCACTGGAAGTCAGAGGAAATGGAAACTAGTACTACACTCACCAATGGCAAGTACTGGACTTGAACTTGCCTACAAAAACCACAACATCCAAAAAATGCTGGGGTTGGTCCTGCAACACCCTGTAAAGGATACGCAACTAACTACACTTACAGTATTCAGCTTTGATTTCAAATCAGCGCTATAGTATGCAGCTGAAACTTGAAAGTAATTACTAACAACAGATTTTCATTTACTGGTGCACACACACAATAGAGTTAGTTGAAAGGTATGGCAGACTCACTGATGTGGAGCTTTTAAGGAGAACTAAAAAAATTTAACTGAATCAAGGTGAGGAAAAGACACTGGCATTGGACAGGACACACTTTGAGAAAACCTGAGAGTGGTGTAACAAGAATTTCTTGCACTGAAACCCACCGTCAGCATCATCAAGTGCCTTGCCTGCAGGCGTTGGCGTTCATGCATCGCCTCTGATCACGGTGTCAAAGAAATAAACTCAGCCTAGACAGTTGTTTCAGAGAGTGGTGTTAGAAGCATGGGGTGAGCTGTACACAGTGGTAAAGGAAATGATGACTTGGTGTGTGCTGGTTGAGAGCCTGAGCTCTATTGAGAAATGATGGGCAGAGGAAGAAGAGAGTTTATTTGCATCGATTATGGTTTATATGTGTCTTAATGAATACAGTGGTGTCTTCTGTTGAAATTACAAGCTCTTTGCCTATGTCTGTTTGCCTTGGTCATCTTTGAGTCATCATAATGTAACAGGGGGCTGAGGGGTCTTGAGATATGGTGTCCACCTGGAGTGCTGGAGGTCTCAGGTTCAAGCCCCGGTGAAGGCTGGGATTTTTTCACGTGGACTTCTAGTAATTTCTCCTGGTCTCTGGGTAGTAAGATTGGATGCCCATGTGTATTCTAGCGCATTAAAAAAATCCCTTGACAGTTGGAAATAAAAAAGCGTAGCCTAACGGCGCTGCCTGGGCAAAAATGAGGAGTGAAAAATCTACCCAAGGTATTTCAGGAACCTTGCCGGTGAAACGGAGTTCGTGCACCGTGCTGTGATTCTTCAGACTCAGGCTTGAGTTAGAAGTAGAACAGAGCACTTATGGGTTACACCCGTGTGCCATGATGTTGATCCGTCGAATTAACATAATAATCATAAACGTATCTTGAGAGGTCCTTTGCACAACATTGCTGTCATCACAGTCTGCCTTACAGAAACTTGTTCTCCCACCTCATGCACTTTCACATCCAAGAAGTCACTAACGTCCTGTGCTCATCTTTGTGTTGGTCGTAATATTTAAATATTTTCTATCCATTCTGCATGATGATTATATGAAGCCAGCTGCAGGTCCAACCCCACGTCCTCGTCGTGAGAGGGGGTAAGTAGGGGATTGCTAGGTGTGGGCGAAGTATGGTGTGGCCTCGTGCCACAGGACCGCTACGGTAGCCATGAAGGCCACCCTGGGTCACCCCGAAACGTCCTGGCCAACGGGGCTCTGGTGAAGTTGCGACAGACCTAGCAAGCCAGCAATGGATTTATTATCGCTACAGAAAACACAATGAGATATAAACGGGCTGATCAAACGGGCCTAAGGTCGAGGCGGCCAGAAGAGCTAGAAACAGAACCTTATATCTCCCTCGACACCCACAGCGGTCAAAGAGGAAGTGAAGAAGAAGAAGAAGCTGCAGGTCATAATTCTACAGTGATAGCGTCATGTCTTCTGTTCAGATTACAAGCAGGCTCATCTCCGTGTTCTTCAACCCCATAGTCATAGAGGTTAA